AGAGTGAATAGCAACATTACAAGTTGAGGGATACCGAATTCTTATCGTACACTTTCATAGCCAAGATCGTAAATCAGACTTCTAACCAAAGCAGTTCCTCCAAAATGGGTACAACCCGTCCTAATCTAACAACGCCTGTGTCTGAGGAGAACGCGCCTTGATCGTGCATTTGAAAGGAACGGGAAAGCTACACGTAGAATTAAAAAATACGGCACCGAACATCCAATACGGAAGCCTTACCTCAAAGAAGCGCTCGTAAAGGTTTCGCTTGGTTCAACAACTCGACCTTCAGAATCCACGGCCTTCGTGAATGACAAAGTCGAAACCATGGACGCGATAGCAATCCAGGCAGTGTTCAAAGCGATATAACGGCCAGGACAGATGCTGGAAGAATACCGTCAAGAGTGGTCGACATAGATACATCACACAACGCTTACCGTCTTCCAAAACCAAACGCCACTGTGGGTTCAGGTTGGCGTTCCTTCCCGTCTCGAGGGATGAACCGGCCGGGGTCGAACACCAGAGGGTTGGGATAATCTTTTTCGTCGTGAAGCATGGCCCTACATCGTCTGTCAATCCGAGGCTGGGTCATACATTGACTGGTGACTGACCAAGCGTTTCCAATGATGATCGCGCCTACAAAGGGCACATAATCATAAACCGAGAAGAAAAAATGTATTTGGAACGTACCTGCAGGAATGTAGTAACCTCTGTAAACATCCTCTTTCATGGTACGATGAGCAACGCCTAAATGGAATTTATCAAGTCAAGTGTGCTCGTAGATCTGAGAGCACATACCCAGTGGAACAACAGAGTTCCATCTCATAGCTTCCAACACGATAGCGTCAATATAGGGCAGTTGCGGACGGTCATCGAAATTCGGCAAGCGGGTGCCATGACCAACCACGGCGTCCAATTCGGCTTGGGCTTTGGCTTGTACCTCGGGATAAAGAAGAAATGCAAGCATCGTGGAAAGGACGACGATCACGGTCTTTGGACGGTTCGGAGACTCTGAACGATACACAAGGGTGAAAACCTACCGTGTCAGCTCCCGCTAATTAAAACATGAGATCAGATCTTCAGCGAGCGCCGAGAAACACTTACCAGCAAAGGCAACCGCAGCTGTGTTCCGTATGATTTCAAGGTGCGTTGGGGTGTCTGCCACCTCGGTCTTTTGCATTTTTGTTAGATTTTCAGAGACGAATGAAGGGGGTACAAGGCCCTTCGCCTGGAGCAAGACTTAACCAGACCGATATCAATGAAAGAGTAAGTGAAGACATACCATGGATTCTCTTGTGTATTCAAATGGTTCTTCTAACATGTCGTCGACGTCTTTTCTCCAGGCTTGCGCTCGCCTAATAAAACCTGCGCCAGGCAACCAACCTTCACAGTGCCTACATTACCAGCCTGAGCAGGAAAGTAAAGAACACTCACGTGGAAGATATTTCAAAATAGGGATGAAGTCAACGAAAAAGGCTCCGACGTTCGCAACGATGCGAATGCTTTCCATCGCACGATCCACCAACTCCACAAATCGATCACCGTTCGGATCCACATCATATCCGTAGACGATTTTCATGATGACAGAGCCTGCATGGCTAGAAGGCCGTCAGTTTCTTAGAACAGGCTATCGGGTACACCCAGCTCACTGGCGAATATGGTGAACAAAAGCGTCGGGAGATTTATGCAGCTGTTGTAGCAAAACCAACGTCGCTTTCATCTGCACAGGATAGTACGCCGGAAGTGCACGAGGCTGGAAGTGCTGGTGAAACATTCGACGATGCATTCTATAAAGAGAAGGATGGAAACCAGAACAGGAACAACATACATGGTTGTACTGACCTCCACCAATCAGAATACCTTA